GAAAAGTTTCTTATGAATTTAGTGGTCCCTGAGGTCCAAAAGATTGATGACCCCTGCACTAGTGCACAAACCTTTTTCCTGTTCTGCCATTGCCTGGATTCACTTATCATTCCATCACCTGGCTCCATTCTGAACTCAGGCTCCATTGTTGCAATGGTTTGGAAGGCTTTTTCCAAACTATTGTAAGAACAATGGTGTTGGCTAGTGTTTTCTCCTCTGAAGAGAAAAACACCTGTGAAGCCTATGTTCTAAAAATCTCTGCTGGATTCGTAACTGTTTTTGACAGATTTGAGATCCATTTCTTCAGGGTGCCAACCTGCTGTCCCCTCTGTTTGCAACTTTCTCTGGAAACACACACACCACAATTGACTTTCTGCGAAAGCTGGCAGAGAAGATTGCAAACCACAATCACATAGCTGCAGGGCACTTAACAGCAACTGGTCGTAAATGTGAGCAAGTTGCCAAGCATTAAAAATGCATTCATGTCACCCAGGGAAGGCAGCAAAGTACTTTATGGATGTGGACATCATGATTGGAATCTGCCATTAAACAACCAGTCATTAAGTTGAGGACCACCTGTACAATAGATTAAAAAAAAAATGCAATGTTGAGTTCACAGATCCCGCAAAGCCAAGTTTTTAAAGTATAGTTTGTTGCATTGTCATCAGTGGTACTGCTTATTTACAAGATCTGAATATCTATCCAGTGGTTCAAAGATTCCAGTCTTACCACAAGATGGTACTGTTACATAAATAATGATTGCAGCAAGTTGAAAAAAAAAGTACCTACAGAGAGGTCCAGTGCTTTCTTTTTAAATAGCCTACATACGGAAAGAATCAAAGAAACCAGATATTTTTATTTCATATCTAGTTCACCATTCAAAGTCAAAAATGTACATACTCCCATACAAAGGCCTTTGTCAGATTTCAGCGTGCTATCTTAACTAAACAAACTTAAAGGGAGGGGAAGGGTCATCATCAAGACCTTGTTGACTTCTAGTAGCTGCCCAGACTAGTTCAGCAACTGGCCCTAGGTCCCACAGCTGACTCTGCACCTAATGTGGGACTAGAATTCACCATCTCCTGCAGCACCTAGCCAATTTTGGCTGAACTCTGAACTTAAGCAATAAAAAGATCTGGGAGAATACCAAAAGTTCCAGTAATGGGAGTAAGAGTAGAAATTGAAACACCTATGTGGAAAAAGTAAAAGCAATCCTCATCTGTACTACTGCTAAAAAAGTCAGACAAGCGTCTGTAGTAACTAAATAAACCTGCAGTTTGACTAGTGCTGCAGATATACTTAAATAAGCCTGCATATGCCTAGACACACCCACTTAATGATTTCAACTTGAAGAAGACTTTAACCTGCAAGCCTTCACTTGTAAAAGTTGATGCAATCTGATGGGAGACAAAATCATTTTGAATGAGGTTTGTTTTTAGCACTGTAGATTGTAAATTCAATACAATCCTGTTAAGCCTCAAAATAATTATTTAAATCTCATAAAATAACAAAGTGTTCCTAAGTAGGGCTTTACTGCTAACTCTTATTATTCTATTACAAGTGGGAAATGAAATTTTAAATGACCAGTCCATGGTAAAAAGCCACTTTTTTTGGAAAAAAAATTAAAACTCAGGGACTCCGTGTAGGCTGAATTCATTGGGTGGTTTCATTTTGGCCTGCAGTTTTGCATATTGAATCTTGTTTAAAAATAAGCCATAATTTAGCATGTATGAACCTGTACAGTAGTTAATTCTCCGTTTTTTGGTTAAACCATTATATAGGTGTGTCTAGACAGACACACATATATATATTTAAATATATCTAAAGCACAAGTTAAACCAACTGCAGCTTTATTTGCTAGGACTGGAAATCTTGGTTTCTGCTGATCAACTTCACAAAAGGCTATAAAAGTTTCCCACTAACATAACTTTTTCAAAGACAGTTTCTAACCTATCTCCTTATTTTTGCAGTTTCACAACCAGATAAGAAACCTTTGCAGAATTTTGTTAAATGTAACTTCCTTAGCCTCCTCAAATCCTCCATGTGAGATTATTTATTTCTTCTCAATGTTGTTTCTTCAAAAAGAAAAGAGGACAATATATAAATTATCTGCCTTAATTTAAATTGGCATAATTTCAGAGTACTGTTATTACACTGTAATTAATTCCTTTTTCCAAATTAAAAGTCAAAAGAATGTCTGCAGAGGAGTTTAACAGAGTCCATAAGCACTATTATGTGTATTGGGTCTTTCTATGGCCAGAGAAGACTTGGAAGACAAGAAAATGTACAAAACTAGCTCTACAATCAACACACAATACAAAACAGACTGGGATAACTGACTTAATGCTACATTTTCCCATCTGTATCTGGAAAACTGAACTATTGCTCTCTTCAGTCTCTCCCATTGCCAGATCTTTTGTTGTTTGGAAAATAAATAATAATCATGTTTTCCTATTTATCACATCATCAGAGTCATTTTGAAATGAAATGAGTGCCAAATAAAGTTAATAATAAATGTCTAGGCCCGTCATTAAAATATGTGAACAGAAAATGATGATTCCATAAGAAAAACCTTACTTGAAAGTACTTTGCCTGGTGTCACTTTGGAACAAAATTGCAAGAACACCATGTCCAAGCTTCTGGGGAAAATAGTTGGACAATATCTGGCAGACCATAAATTCTGATGCCTTATTTTATGGCCAATAACGTAAGATAATGTAACATTTGTAAAAACTCCTTTCCTTTCTTTGTCCCTTTATAATGTACTCTTTCCAAACTATGAGGGTATTACAAGATTGTTGAAGGCTTAAACATTTGTAGGATCCTCTGTAATGCAATTATAAAATCTATATTGACAGGCAGGTATCATTTTTGTTTTATTTTCTTACCAATCTCATTTACACATGGGGGAAAGGAATAGCAAAGCTCTCAACCAGTTTTCACCTTCATTATGTGAGAATATTCTCAGAAGAGGCAGACAGGTGTTGTGAAATCGTTTTGAAAAATGCATTAATTTCCATTCAAAACGTGCATCTTAAGCAGTATAGACTTTATAATGGGAGATATTCCAAAAACACAATATAAGATTTGTTGGACCCTTATAAAACACACAGAGGTACCCCTTTGGGGGGGAGGGGGTTACTGCTTATTAAATCCCCATTAAAAGTTTGCACAAGCCAGTAGATGCCATCTGCAGCCCTTTCCTGGGAAGCAAGTCCTGGGAAGCTGGCGGGAAAGTTAGACGTGCGTCTGCAAAAGGCCAGAGATCACACCTAGGAAATCTCAAGCCTCCTTCGGCGTGGTTACCTTTTCTTCTCTGGATCGGCTCATGGTGCCCACACGGCTTTGTTTCCTCCAAAATCCCTCGCAATGGTTCCTGTCTTCTGTCACCTCCGCTCGCCAAGTTTGCCCCTCCCTCTCGCGACTTCTGACTTGTTTTTCAAGCCCGCCCCGCCCCCTTTCCTGGTTCCGCCCATTCAGCCCGCCCTGAAGGATACGTACGTTTTGGAGGTTGCCTTCAGCTCGCATTTCAGCGGATGGCCCCGCCCCCGGGCTCTCCCGGAGCTCCTGATTGGCGGGCATCCCGTCGGGTCATTTGCATGTCGCCTCCGGATCGGTGAGCCAGAGGAGAGCAGCGAAGAGAGAAGTTCGCGCAAAGCTTCTGTAAAGTGTCTCTCGTGGGGCGCGGAGGGGGGAAGAAACACCGGCAGGCAGCAGCCGTTCTGGGTCGCTTTGGGTTTCCTTTCCTGTCTCTCCCCTTCTGGATGAGTCCAGAATTGATTCTGGATCGTTGCTGTGGGAAAAGGCTTGTTCGCCTCCCGCCGCCGCTTGAGAACTCTTCCCCGCTCCAATTAGGCGGTAGGTAGGCATTGCCTCCTCAGAGCTCAGCCGGATCCTCCGCATCTTTTGCCGCTGGCCCAAGATTTTCCATCCCGTCTCCTTCCAAGGCGGAGAAGAAATGATCTCACTCGGCCCGTGGAATGGAGACAGCTGGCACGCGTGAAAACCTGAAGGCACCGCGGGACTCGCATCCCGGAGCCTAAGCCCTGCGAGCGTTCTCGGTCGCCTTTGCGAGCCGCGCGGGACTCGGCAGCGGCGGCGGAGGTGCCTCGGAGGAGGCAAGTTTTCCCCTATGGCTGGGCTATACAGCTCGCCTTTGAAGACCCTGGAAGATCTAACCTTGGACTCCGGGTATGGGGCAGGGGACTCCTGCAGGTCCCTCAGCCTCTCGTCCTGCAAGTCCAACAGCCAAGCCTTGCCCTCGTCTCAACCCCGGGGCAACTGGTGGTACTATTCGGGCTCCATGAACAGCCGCAACAACAGCTGGGACACCGTCAACACTGTCTTGCCGGAGGATCCCGAAGTCGCCGATATCTTCGCCAAATGCGCCAAGCTGCCCGACCTGGAGGAATTCCCTTGGAGCGAAGAAGACGTGGAGAAGATCCTGCGGAAGGGGAAGGAGGCGACCCAGGGGGGAGGCTTCAGCCCAGAAGCCGCGAGGAGGCTGTCGATGCTCCTCCGGAGGCCGCTGATCCGGATCTCCCGGGAGGCGCAACGCCTGAGCGTGATGCACGCCAAGTGCACCCGCTTCGAGATCCAGAGTGCCATCAAGCTGATCCAGAGCTGGTCCCTGGCGGAAAGTTGCGTTCTGGCCACCGTCAAGGCTCTTTCGCTGTACAGTATGAGCGCCGGGGACGGCTTGAGGAAAGGCAAATCGGCCCGCTGTGGCCTCACCTTCTCCGTCGGGCGCTTCTTCAGGTGGATGGTAGACACTCGGATCTCGGTTCGGATCCACGAGTACGCGGCCATCGCTCTGGCCTCTTGCATGGAGAACCTGGTGGAGGAGATCAAGGGCCGGGTCCTGGCCAGCCAAAACCCAGACGGAGACGGGGCAGGAAGTGAGGTCTCCTCCGAAGTCCTCGAGGCGGTGATCAACAACGACGCGGAGCTTTGGGGCGTCCTGCAGCCTTACGAGCATCTCATCTGCGGGAAGAACGCCAACGGTAAGGAGCGGTGGTCGGACAAGAGCGGGGTGGGTGGGTAGGAATTTGCTGCAGATTTAGCATACCACTTGGGGAAGTTTCTTGGTGGCATATGTTTCAGAGGAACTGCACTTCTTGGTGGGAATGCTAAAATAGTGTAAGTGTGCAAAAGATGCAAACGGGGGAGGGGAAAACAAAATAATATTGTTCTAAGTGATTTGCTTTGTGTTGAGCTTAAAAAAATAACAAACTACCGACAGAAGAGAATATTGGTACTTCAACGTTGAAAGGTGAAGTTCAGCACTGATGATGTTACCTAGTTGGGTAATGAAGTGTCTGCAAGAAAACAACTAAGTTCAGAGAGCCTCAATGACCCCACAAGTGATGTTTTCAAAGGTTTATAAAAGTACTAGTTACAGTGAAATTGCAATATCCTACACAAATGCACTTAAAGGTTTAGTAGCACTTTTCTTTAGAAGTTTGGGAAGTAATTCTGATGAACTTAGACAGAACTGCAGTCTGTTCAACCATTCAAACTGTGGTGACATCCAAACTGTACTATGTAGAACATTTAAGTCTTTGAAGATTAAATATTCTACATGTAGACTCCATGTAGTTAGTATATGCTTTGCATTTGCTGAGCAGAATCCCAAAAACGGAATGAGATGTGCTAATTAATGGAGAGTGAAAATAAAATAAGACCAGGTCAACTAAGGAAAGTAAATACTATGTAGAATTAGTCAGTTCAAACAGTGCACGTAATTAATTAATGTTGCTAATTACACAGGTAGCCCTTCACTTATGACCACAATTGGGAATAGAACCTCTGTTGCTAAATGAGGCAGTTGTTAAGTGAGTTGCCACCCATTTTTATGATCTTTCTTGCCAAGGTTGTTAAATGAATCACTGTAGTTGTTAAGTGAATTACATGATTATTAAGCGAATTGAATTTGCTTGTTGGAAGACAGGTGGGAAGGTCACAAATGTCCATCTCATGAGCACAGAATGCTGCAACAATCGTAAATACGTGCCTATTGCCAAGCATCTGAATGTTGATCACACAACTATGGTGACACTGTGATAATCATAGGTTTGAGGACCACCTGTTTGCCAATTCTTTTCAGTGCCGTTATAATTGTGAGTCACTAAACAAATGGTTGTAAGTTGAGGACTACCAGTACATCATAGGATATTATTGAAATACTGAGAATGATATTTTAACAGTAAGTTGCAAAGTGTGTGAAGGGGAGGTTTGTATTCTTCACATTTCATCTTAATCGTTCTTCCTTTTTAAGCCAAGATGGGTCAGGCATTTTTCACCACATGCCAAAAAAAGCTTTGTTCAAGGTTACTCATGGGAAAGTCCTGTTGAACAAACAATGGGACTTAAGCTGGTCAGGGCTAATTCATTCTTTTGATTTAGGAAGATTTGCTTTCTTTAGAAACACAAGATTCTCGGAACAAGTTTCCTTTTCAATTCCATGTACAGAATCCAGATGACAGGCAGCTATGACCTACAGCAATTGGACAGCATCTTCTATTATCTTTGAAAGCTAGTTTAAAGGTTCTGATACAATGGTGTCCTCTTTAATCTATCATCACTTCCTGGATCTGAAGGGTCTCATAGCCCAATTCTTTACAGAGAGATCTTTCGGAAAAGAGCAGTAACAACAACATTTTTCCTTTATTTTTTAACTGAATACTCAACCTACAATCCAAAGTGGTTTAGGACAGATATAGGTTGTCATCTCATGTACATTCTCTATGTACTAAATCTTAAACAGAAGTAATCTTAGCTGGATAAAAGCCTAACTATATTGTTATGGAGATGGAGATTCCTCTCATCCCTGCTCAGAATATAATAGCAATTTTCTGAGTGTCTTTTCCTCATATTTATTTCTTTATGTCATTGCATTTATTAGAGCCACCCACTTAGAAGATTCTGATTGGCTGCATATTGGCTAATGCGGCTGGTAGATAAGGTGTAGCTGGCTGAACTTTATGGGATTCACCATATCATGTCTCTGACTCACAGTCAGTCTTTCAACTCTCTCACCCATCCCTGTTACATTCTGTCTAAGTTCCTGGGAGTGTAAGGATAATATTAAAGAAATGTTCCTGGAAATAGTAAGGAAAATGTGAAAATCAAACAGTACTGTCTGGTTTCACCTTGGTGTCACTAGTGCTGTACTGCATCAGTTTCACCAAGGGTGCTAATACGTTATACCAATTACAGTTGTTTTGTTTTGATTACACAAGTTGATAAGTAACTTTAAAGCAGGAAATGACTAAAGGTCTTCCATTTAAAGGCTGTATTGTCATCAGCATATGGCAGCATATATTGGCTGTGGGAAAAAGCTCAGCCTGTTGACAATTCCCATTCACAAAATAATAGTGCTACAGACTGAATCTAGCCCAGTCAGCTTCTGCCCTTCACTACCAAAAGAATGGCAGATTCCTCCTGGATTAGACAAGTGTCTATTAGTCTTACAGTGACAATCAAATGCTTATGGAAAGCACAAATATAGGACATGTTTCTCTTTCTGTTTTCCTTCTGCTTTTCCATCTTTACTTTGAACAAGTTTACATCCCTTTTTTAAATTCTTGTTTAGCTAGGAAATCTCCTTTTTGCTCTAACTGCTTTCTTGATTCCATTTTTAGCCACGCTGGACATAATTTGACCTTGTTTTATCTGCAGTACACATTCTAGTTGAGTTTCTGTTATTCTGGTTTTGAATATCCGCTAACTATTATTGAAAGATTCAATCTTTTGACTTTCTCCATCAACTTTAGTAATTTGTTTCATTTCTAAGCTGTATGTTTTGAAGTTAGAAGTGACAGTCCTGGATTTGACAATCTGCCTCTGATAAATTAAGCTTGACAGCAAAGCTATTACCATGTGATTTAATGCTCCCTATGCAGAGGGAATTGCAATGGAAAGCAAAGCTCGAAAGGCAGCTGAGAGGAGGGAGAAGACTGGATTAGGAAAGAAAAGATGGGCTGTGGTTATTCTCTCACTGAGGCTGTGTAAGGAAAGAGAATTCCAAAAGCAACCCTTGCCCATATTTTGCAAGTTAAACAATGATTTAAGAGAAATTAATTTTTAACTCTATTCAAAAGCAAAAGCAGATGTCAGGAATTATGCAAAAATAAGCCTCCCCATTAAAAAAAATGTTTTTAAAAGTTACTTTTTGTCTTATTTCTAGCAAAACAGCTTTATTTTATAAGGTTGCACATTTTTATCATTGATTTATTTAATGCAGTAAGATGTATTAAAATAAGAGGCAGGTTGATTTTTGTCTAATCCTAGCCACAATCAAATCATTAGTTTTATTGGGGGTTGTACAAATTCATTTTAAGTGGTCACTGATCACAACAGTTGAGAACTCTCACTTTAATCTGCTTCCATTACATTCCAATCTGAAGGGAATGCAGTATTTTCACCCTCATTCTCTACAAATGTTTGGTCTTGAATTGGAAACTCTGCAACTCTTAGGTTTTTCTTGCTGAAATCAGCTTATTCTAGCTAAAAGTGTGTAGAGATTCTCAAATCATCCAGGTCATGGTTGTTCCAAAAGTGCTTTTTCAGGAGGTCACTGGACTTTCTTGTTGTTTTTTCTTTTAAAGACATTTCACTTCTCATCCAAGAAGCTTTTAAAGCTCTGACACTATTCCCCACTATCCTGTCAGAGCTGAAGAAGCTTCTTGGATAAGAAGTGAAATGTCTTCAAAGGAAAACAAAACAAGAAAGTCCAGTTGCCTCCTGAAAAAGCCCCTTGGAATTTATGCTAGCTACTTTTCAAAATTAAACTCTACTATCTATTGGAAATGTTATCATTTTAAATATTTTTATTACCTAAACAAACTTTTATATCACCCCTTTCTTTTTACAGTCCACTTTATTAGGAATGCAAGCAGTGAATAAACAGAAATATTATTATCCCATTGCTACAAGATGCTGTAGGTGCATAGCTCAAAGAATCTAGAGGGTCTGTCTAATCAAGATCCTGATTTAGAAAATAGCCAGAGAAAAAGATTTCTTTTTAAATGAGCAAAGTGAATGGACAGAGGCTTGTACTATATGAAAATGTAAGGAGATATGAAAAGAAATATGTATAAGGATTCAAAATGTGAAGTAATTGTGTTACAATCATGAATTGGATACAAAGCTTTGATTTGCCCTGCAAAGGCTGGGTTTCATTTCACAGTGGTATATGCTTTTTTAGCTCATTCTATCAAATATATTTATTTATATATAAATTCTGACTTCCTGTGCCCACATGTGCATTTAATTTAGTTTTAGGAATGTATTTATTGTGTTAACAAGGAACATGGAATGCAAGACATGGAGTGCATGGAGTGCACTTGATTACTTGTACTTTGCAAAATGAGACTGAGCAAGTGTTACTTTAATTGGAAGAAATGAAGCTTGGTTTTCAGTATAAATTAATTTATTCTTTCAGAGATAAGGTAGCAGCAATATTGGCTGGTTAAGTGGATTCAATTTCTCATAGCAAGAATAAGATTTGTTTCAAGAAATACATATTCTGCACTTTCAATTTGAAGATCAAAGACTCAGATGTTTCTTAGATGGTCAGTCATTTCATCCAAGCCAGATATTATCATTTGCTACCGATATCCGCCAGTGTGTGATAGTGATTCTGCTGATAGTTTATCTTAGAAGAAGAGGTCTCTGAAACCTGGTTCAGAGTGACTAGGTTCTAAGAAAATGTGTAGAAGTTACCTGTTGCCCCTTTTATTAGGTCCAAATCTTCTGAAGAGAAATATTTTGTATTTTGGGTGACAACATTAGCCAGAAAGATACTCTATCCCAGTGATGGCTTACCTTTTTATCGCCACATGTCCGTGCCGATACCCATAATGTGATGCATATGCGAAACACCCACCCATGCACCCCACCCCCTGCGCATGTACATGTGGCCTCCCTGCAGCCTCCTGGGACTAAAAATGGGCCGTGTGTTTGTGTGTGTGTGTGTGTGTGTGTTTGTGTGTGTGTCACA